CAGGAGAACATGCACCTAATTAATTAAATAATTTGGTTCTGTACCTTTCTCTTCAGCACAGCCGACAAAGGTTTAAGATGGGTCAGTCCTCCTGCATGCTCAGATCATTCCCTTCCCTTGCTTGAAAAATTGTTCCAAAATGAAAGTTGAACCCACATCTTTTTTATCTGTGAATTCAATGCCGTTCGGCGAGTCTCAAATAAAAATTTGGGCATCTTGCTGTAAAAAAATATACCATTAATGTAAAAAGTAAACTGTGCATAAATTACGTCCACACCAAGAATGGAACCAGGATCTACTGCACAAAAGCCTGACATTTAATTAGGTGAGCTAAAGCACCAGCAATGTCTCTTGTATCTGTAACTTTTATATTCTAGATGACAGCTGAAACAATGTTCAAAGAACGGTTCGGAGAGAAAATGGCTATTTTGTTGCTAATTTGCAGGAAATATCTAGAAGAAAGTAGCTAAGGGTCCTCAGAAATGTAGCTAGGTTCATCACTAGGCGTTAGGAACAGCGACAAAGTCGCTGAGTTGGCACTGCCTCTCTCTCTGCTGCTAAAGCTACTGAAAGCAAATGCTACGGGTGATGCCTGAGCGTGAACGCGCATGCCTGCTCGACCCGAGCAGCTCTCTTTTTCTGTGATTTTACAGAAAAACAGGCAATCACAGTAAAAATGCCAGGGCTCATTCTACAGGACCAGGGCATTGCAGGAGAATGTATGAAGAAGAAATTTATTATTTCTATCCATGTTTTGGCTGTCAAACTTCCATAATGCCCTTTTAAGCAATCAAGAAAACCTGTAATAGGAAGCTTAGCCCTCATATTAAATAGTCTTTGTATGAACAGTAAAAGTTAGCAGAATGATGAAACCTAGAAACTAAAATAGTTTAATCTTACAGTTCCTTGGAGACATTGAATCGATCTAAAGCAGAACCCTTAGAGGAGATAAAAAATAATACATATTATTTAAAATAGATTGTATGTTTTTTTGAAGTTGTTTTGTTACACAGCACTGTAAATGTTTGTAGAGTTCCTATTTCCTCACATTTGACACCACAGTGCTACAAGGAAGTGAAGACAAAAGGGCTTTCACATTCACAAGGTTTACTGGTTGACTTTTTCAGTTTCAGGAACACAGCAGAGAAGTTTTAACCGTTTGGTTGTTTCTTTATTAGGGTAAGGTTACTTTGTTCTGACAGTGGTGAGTATTACATCTACTGTTGTAAGAACAAGTAAACCACCTGGTCAATTTCCCTTTCGTACTTCAGGCAACGCTGCACCAAGCCTAAAACACACACACACACACACACACACACACACACACACACACACACACACACACACACACACACACACACACACACACACATACACACACACACACCTTAGGCCACAAAAAATATCATTATTATGTAGTTAGACAGAACTAAATGACAAGGAGGAGGAATCTGAGTTGTGCCATTTAGGCAGGTAGAAAATGACAGAAAGTGGAAATTAAAACAAGTGAGAGAGAAGAACAGGAAGAGGAAAAACTGCGTAGGAAACAAGCATACAGAGGCAGAAGTGCAAGTCTTTTGTGTCATGAGAGGGAGCAGCGGAGGTGCTCCGACACAAACTCAGCAGGACAAACATTTGAAAGGACCGAGGATGAAATTTCCTTCACAAAGTTCATGAACCAAAAGAAACAAACGGTCACAAAGCAGGTGAATCGTTGGATTTTGTGTGCAGATTTAAAATGGGGTAAGTAACTTACAGCTTCTGACATTTATGCTATTTTGAATGCAGGTGTAGATCTACCAGTAGTTACATTCAAGACTCATTGATTTTTTTTATTACTTAAAGTAATACCAGTTCATTTGCAAGATGGCAAAAGAAGCCTTTTTGTTGGTCAGTTTACATTGGCACTAAACACGTCTTGTTCTGTTTCTCCTGCTGCCTGTAAGCATCAGCCGCAGTTCTACTTTTACTAAAAACCTCCAACAATAAATCTTTTCAATTAAATCCTGCATGCAATCTTCATAGCTAAGCAATTGGAGAAGTAAGGGTATAATAAACATGTTAAGAATGCATTCCATATTAGGAAATGCAGCACTGAACACAGGAAGTGGTCACAGAAAGAAAAAAAAAGACTCTTCAACAGATACCCCACAAACTTCACATGTTTCAAAAACAGTTCAACTCAAAGTTACACACAAGTCTGACAGGAAAATATTTATAATTATATTCTAATTATTCCTTTAATTTACCACAAAGTATTTGCTTTGGTTTCTACAGAACAGATCAGTGTTATTCAAAATGTGTGTTTATTGAGGAAATCAGCAACAGTCACAGAATAAAACAGAACATCATGCAATAAATGATTGCTAACAAGATTATTTGTCTAGTTGTTTGCTCCATGACACCTGCTAGAGGTGCTGTTTGGAACATTTTGTTTTAACTCTGGAAATAATTGAAATTTAAATGATTCTAACAATGTTCATTCTGTACGTAGGCTAGGAATGGGTGGTAAACTTAGTTATGACTAAAATAATGAATTTTATAAACCAAATTACTGGATAGATGGATAGATAGATAGATAGACAGATAGATAGATAGATAGATAGATAGATAGATAGATAGATAGATGATAGATAGATAGATAGATAGATAGATAGATAGATAGATAGATAGATAGATAGATAGATAGATAGATAGATAGATAGATAGATAGATAGATAGATGATAGATAGATAGATAGATAGATAGATAGATAGATAGATAGATAGATAGATAGATAGATAGATAGATAGATAGATAGATAGATAGATAGATAGATAGATAGATAGATAGATAGATAGATAGATAGATAGATAGATAGATAGATAGATGATAGATAGATAGATAGATAGATTATAGATAGATAGATAGATAGATAGATAGATAGATAGATAGATAGATAGATAGATAGATAGATAGATAGATAGATAGATAGATAGATAGATAGATAGATAGATGGATAGATGGATGGATGGATGGATGGATGGATGGATGGATGGATGGATGGATAGATAGATAGATAGATAGATAGATAGATAGATAGATAGATAGATAGATAGATAGATAGATAGATAGATAGATAGATAGATAGATAGATAGATAGATAGATAGATAGATAGATAGATAGATAGATAGATGGATGAACAGACGGCCTTGTTCTCCTGCTGGAAGTCAGGTTGAGTGACTCTGCTCTCTCCCACAGTGAGTCCAGTATCTGTCAGGTCAGAGCAACAGTCATGATGTATGACGACGCCACCAGGCGCTGGGTTCCAGCAGGCTCTGACGCCGCCCACCTCAGCCGTGTCCACATTTATCACAACCCTGCAGCAAACACCTTCAGAGTGGTGGGCCGCAAGCTGCAGGCTGACCAGCAGGTATAAGAATCACCCAGCCCCCCAGTCTGGCTGCAGCTTTCCGTGCTGATTTTTTCATCATGTTGTAGACTTCCACCTATCTTTCACATGACCTCTTTGTAGTTCAAGTTTCAGAAAAACGAATATGTCAAAAATAATCACAGATTCACAAACATACTAACCTTTAGGAGGTTTTTCTCCTGTCTTTTCACTTCCTGTTTGTGTCAGGTGGTGATCAACTGTTCCATTGTCAAAGGGACCAAATATAACGAAGCCACACCAAATTTCCATCAGTGGCGAGATGCCAAACAAGTGTGGGGGTTGAACTTTGGGAGTAAGGAAGATGCTACAGCTTTTGCTGCCTCCATGATGCAAGCATTAGACTCTCTCAGTGGTTCAGGTAACCAGCAGCTGACTCAGGTCAGCGGGTCAAACCTTAAAGTTTAAACAAGGCTAGAGTCTCTGACCTACGGACCAACGTCATGTTTGTCGTCAGAAACTACAAAGTTAAACCGAACCGAGGTCTGAAGGATCTGAAACAAAAAGTTAGGAGATGTGATGAAAACATAATTTATTCAAAATGTTGACAGGTCAGACTCACGTGTGGCAATATACCATGTGTGTGTGTGTGTGTGTGGGGGGGGGGGGTCACCCATAAAGACCCTCCCACTGTCCTAATGGGTGTGACCCCGCAAGGAAAGTTGACCATTGAGCAGGATTGATGGTTAATCTCTTGAGGTCCACGTGGCAGGGGGAGGTGGTGCTCACTCCTCATCCCTGCCACATGGACCCAAGGGATAAACCATCAGCCCTGCTCAATGGTCACCTTTCCTCGTGGGGTCACACCCATTAGGACAGTGGGAGGGTTAAGCTAGTTTAGTGATGTAATTTTATGTATTTTCAGAGCTTTGAAGCAACTGTTTTTAGACAATTGATTCATGTTTCATTATACAAGGGTCCCCTCAGAATGGGCCGTCCCCGCAGCAGCTGGAACAGCAAAGAAGGTAAGTTTCAAATGTGCCTCAGATGTCTGACCCTGTTTTGGTGTTTAAGCTTCTTCCTCTCTGTTCAGGCTGGAGCAACAGAAGCAAGAACAGCTGTCCAGGGAGAATAAGAAGCCTGATCCACCTGCTCCTCCGCCCCCCCATACAGCTGGTCCATCAGCCCCCCCAGGACCACCACCCCCACCGGGCCCACCCCCACCACCCTGTGGATCCGGCCCTCCACCACCTCCTCCACCACCTCCTCCTCCTCTTTCTGGTGGTTTGCCCCCAGCACCTCCCCCACCCCCAGCTGGAGGAGGAGGTGGAGAAGCAGGAGGCAAAAACGATTTTGCAGCAGCTCTTGCAGGGGCCAAATTGCGTAAAACAACAAAGGTGAGGATTTGTAATTAACCCAGTGAGAAAATATTTTGCTGTAAAATATAAATGAAACAAGCAAATGTGAAATCCACTTTTATCTTGTGGACGTTTGTAAAAACATGTTTCTTCTGTTCCTGAAAGTAACCAGAAGTCCCGTTGGTGAGTCAGCGGATTTGTCTCTGCAGGAGAAGGCTTGATGACTGATGGCTAAAGGAAGCTAAACCAGCTAACATCAGTTGTTCTTGTTTCTGCAGGATGAGGGCGCAGGAGCAAGCCCGGCTTCCAAACCAGTGCCCTCATCTGGAGGAGGAGGAGGAGGAGGCGGAGGGGGAGGAGGAGGAGGAGGAGGAGGTCTAATGGGAGAAATGAGTGCTATCCTTGCAAGGAGGCAAGTTTCTACTTTCTACACCTAAAAGTCGTGCTTGTTTAGAACTGATGTTGAAATGCATCCTGCTGATTGCAGGTGAGCAACCGAATCACCCCTTTTGGTCTCTACAGGAACAGAACCAGGATGTACCTAGAGCTTTGTGTGTGTGTGTGTGTGTGTGTGTGTGTGTGTGTGTGTGTGTGTGTGTGTGTGTGTGTGTGTGTGTGTGTGTGTGTGTGTGTGTGTGTGTGTGTGTGTGTGTGTGTGTGTGTGTGTGTGTGTGTGTGTGCGTGCGTGTGAGGAGATAAGAGTGTTATCCAAACCCAAACATCAGCAATCATCAGCTGATCAGAAGATTAAATCCATTAGTTGATTAGGGAAAGGAGGAGGAGGTTTTTGTAAATGTCCCTTGTCATACGCCCCCAAGCACAACAATCAAACGTCTAAATGCCCACTAGCATCTCATCTTATGTCCCTTTTCTACCAGCACCTACTCAAGCGCAGCTCAACTCCACTCTAGTTCAGTGTCAGCAGCCGAAGGCCAGACTGCAGGAATCCATCACTACAGAAGGCCTTTCAGAGTCAGGTGGTGAACTGAGGGTTTTTTTCAGTGACAATGTCAGTGGTGAAACTGTGAAGGTGCACTATGTGCTCTAGGAACAGGTAGGCAGTTTGTCAGGAAGTATAGGGAGACCTTGGAAGTCCACCAGTTGGACAGCTTTGGAGAACCGGCACACGATGATGAGGACGGTGTCCAACTCATTAACCGATTAGTGTTTCATGAAGAAATCCAAGCCCACATGTGATCAGGGGGGCTTAGGTGCCCAGAAAAAGGAGATGAGTTGGCCCGGATCAAGGCTTCCATCCTGAATATGGATGGGACAAATTGTAGGGGGTCTCTGGGGTAGCGGGCTGAAAAGGCCACCCTGATGAAGTCCTCCAGAGGCCAATGCAGAAGAGCAGGAACTAGTTGGCAGGAAGGATTAGGTATAGGTTTGGGTCAGGAAAAGACTGAATGGTGCCGAAAGACGGTTTAGCCCAGGATGTTTTTGGTATGCTGGTGAAGGGAGCATGTTTCGAGTTCACAGAGTAGGTGGGTGTTTCAGAGGTGGTTGAGGAATTCCCGTATCTGTCAGATGGGGTCCGTCTCAGAACAGAAGTAGATACGAATGTCGTTGAGGTACACAAACACCCTATGGCCCGGCAAGTGCTGCAGCATGACATTGATGAGGTGGTGACTGCCCAACTGTGGGATGGTCTCTACAGTTCCTGATGGACATGTTTTTGGGTTGTGTCTGTTCCTTGATTGGGAATGGTTGCAATGGGTGGTTGTCAATAGAAGTGTGGATATGTGGAAAGCCACCATGAAGTGATAGACTGCTCCAGTATCTTGGAACTCCATGGCCTCAGCAGTGGAGTCCCTTTACTAAACGTTCACCCATAGACATGAAGAGGCCCTGAGTGGTGTATGACCAGGCAAGATGCCTCCTAAGTCTTCCTGGTGGTTGCATTTTCCGGCCTCTTTGGACAGGTGAATCTGCAGTGTTGGGTGAGCCGCTGTAGGCGCAAAATCCCTGGAGCCAATGTCGTTCCCACTCCTCAGGACTATAGGTTCTGTAGCTGGTTGTTCCTCTGAGGATCTTGGTAGCTGGCAATGTGGAGGAAGGAAGGGCAACATAGAGTGAGGACAAGCCATCACCCACTTGTCAATCGGGAGGGCCTGCTGACAGCATCATACAGTGTGTCTGGTGTCACACGACCCAGCAACTTGTTCCAGACATTACCAGCAAGTCCTGCCTCAACGTTGGTGCATAGGGCCACCTCTCCTCAGTTCATAAATGTATCTGTTACTTAGATTCAGTCTAATTTTATAGTTTTTTATGAATGAGGTATCCTTAAACATAAAAGGGAACTGTTCTGGAGCAGGTTGTGTATTCTGCTTGTTTTACTCTTCAGAACAGAGATGAGCTACAACACTTTACCAATTTTTGTGTGAAGGGCGAAAAATTACGCGTAGCAATCTCGGAATAATCCAGGGATACTAAAACATTTCTAGAAACAATTGAGAGGTCTAGAGCTCTGGTAGCTCTAGAGCTTTGGTAAATCACAGACAGCTGCTTTAAGCCGGGCGGACACTGAGAAGCATTCAGCATCAGCTAATACTGTACGACTTCCCCAAAGAGCAAATCTCATGGGTCGTGTGCTCACACTGTACGTCTGGTACTAAACAGCTAAAAATAGCAGTTTTACACAACACGCCAGACTTTTTTTGTGTTGTTATTGATGTCTGTTGTCCTTCGGGCTTGCTGTTGGAGAAGGACACAGGATTTATGGGGGTTGGAGGAGGAAGACGAAAATGAGAATCAATCTTTTATCTGTTTAATTTGACATAAACACAACAAGACAATCCTTGTCAATATGTGTGAAAAAAGTGTAATAAATACAGCCATGTTGAACCATGTTTGCGTATGCGCCGTGAGCAGTTCTGGTACTTTTTTGGGTCGCAGCCACTGCAGCGCTGCTTCAACAGTGCGCTGTTCTCACGAGGGACGAGCAAAATATCAAACACGCCAGAAATTTGTGCAGCTTACAATTGCTGATTGGTAGCTGGTCAGGTGGTGTTAATCGCCTCTCAAAGGTTCTCCTAAAGCTGGATGGACACTGCACACCTTTTTCACTTTTTTGAGCCAATTTTCTCCTCGTGCAAGAATCTACAAGACCGGGGCGAGTTTTGCGCTGAGTGTCGTGTAGTATAAAGGAGGTTACGAGAGGTGATTACCACCACGTGACCAGCTACCGATTGGCAGTCGTAAGCTTGTATGAATTTCTGGCGTGTTTGATATTTTGCTTGTCCCTCATGAGAACATCACATTGTTGAAGCGGCGCTTCGAGCGGCTGCGACCCAAAACAGTACCAGAACGGCTCTCGGCGCAAACATGTGTCAGCACGGCTCGCCAGCTTTTTCCCTATTTACACACATCGGTCGGTTTTATTTATACAGTTTTTTTTCCACACACAGCGACAACGATTGTCAAGAAAGCATTTTTATGTCAAATTGAACTGATAAAACACTGAATTACTTTCTTTCTTTTTTTCGTCTTTCTCCTCCAACCCTCAAATTTATACAGCACTCCTGAAGAGCAGTAGACTTCAATAACAACACAAAAAAGGCCAGTATTCTGTGTAAAAACTGTTATTTTTAGCATGTTTGCAGGTCTGATGTGTTGCTTCCAGATGTACGGTGTGAGCAGTCAGAGTACTGGTGTGAGCACATGACTCGTGACATTTGTTCTGCAGGGAAGTCGTACAGTTTGAGCTGAAGCTGAATGCTATGAGTGAAAAAGTTGCACAGTGTCCGCCCGGCTTAACCCTCCACTGAGTCTTGTGGGTCTCTCTGTTGTGTTCAGGTGTTTAGTTATTTCAGCAGTTTAGTTAAAGCTGGATGATAAACCAAAGTCTTTCTCCGTTGTACAAACTTGAACCATGACATCCCATCTACCGGGACCAGAGGTTGGGATTCATGACGTGGGATTGAAAGCACCCCACCCACACCTGGCAGTAACTCAGAACAGGGTGTAGACCATCAACATATAAATATTGGACAATGGGTTTCCCTAGGCTCCAATAACACGTTTTTGAAGAAAAATGGGAGGTGGCCACCACCACCATTTTGACCGTGTCACGGGTTCCGTCAAGCCCAGACAATTCCACAAAAGGGAAGAGAGGTGGAGCTGAGGGTGGGGCTGTAAGGCTGGGATCAACTGACGACACCCGGTCGAACTAGCTACAAGCTAACCTGAAGCTAGCGCAAAGCTAACGCGGAGGTGGGAGCTAAGCTAACGGAGGTAGCAACCTAGCTACAACCGGAGTTAACTGTGCACAACACCAGAGCTTCTGAGTCAGAGATACACCGGGCTGACCGCTGGGTAAAACCGGGAGGAACACAGAGGTCTCCCGAGAGCTCCACAAGCCGGCAGCCGCACAGCAGACAAGCGCTGCTGCGATCTGAGATGCGCAGAGCTGCCGCTGGGGAGAACTGGGTGGAAAGGTTTCCATCCCAGAGCTCCACAAGCTGGCAGCCCGTGCAGCACACAGAAGCCGCGATCAGACAGAGATGCGCCGAGCTGCGGGGAGGCGAGAACGGGTGGAAAACAGAGGTCTCCCGAGAGCTCCACAAGCCAATAGTCAGAACCCAGCTCCACCAACATGTTATATTTGAACCCATTTTCTAAAGTGCAGCATTATGTTAAATGCACTGGGTTTTACCCTATTACATTTAAATTTCATGGTTAAACGGTACATGTTAAAATCTAAGCTCAGCTAGTGCAAGAGCGGCAGTGACCTAAAATACATAAATAAAATTTTACTTACAGAAAAACAATGAATTGGAGACTCCTTGGACGCTCTATTAGTGCAATTAATGCCACAGCAAGTCATTTTGTCCAACAATTGCACAAATAATATCCAACAAAGAACGCACAAACGCTACAGCTAATGGTCTAAGTTGAGAGACTGAAAATGACCGAACAGTTTGCAGGCGAGGCTGAGGCTCAGACTGAGGCCTTTCCCCGGAGCTAGCTCTGTGGTCACGTGGGTCTGATGCTCATTAATTATACAGAATTTTAGGCTTTTAATACACTTAAACAGAAGAGTGAGAAAAAAATTCACCCCCCTCATAGTTCTCATGAGTGTAAACTAGATCATTTAAACAAAAAACATGTGTTGGTACCAGGATGTAAACATGTTTATTTCTGCTGTGAAATTGGTATTTTTAACATGGGAGTCAATGAGGATTTGCTCGTTTCTGACACCAGCCCCCAGCGGAGGAGGGTGGAACTACAATTTATTTCACTTCTGCGTTTGCTTCAATTTTTCACCCGCATTGTGGGGGCTTGGTGTAGACACCAACAGGAGTTAATGATGGGTTGTTTCCTAATGAATGTGATTGATCTATCCAGGAGGAAAGCTGCTGACAAACCTGCAGCAGCAAAGGAAGAACCTTCCAATGTAAGTCTTCTTTCACTTATTGACTTATTTCATTTTGATTTGGAAGTGAGATGAGTGTCAGAGCTTTATCTGTGTGCTTACAGGAAGAATGTGGCTCCTCAGGATCAAAATCATCAGAAGCAGCTGGTGAGCAACCCCTCCTTCATGCTTGTGCTAGTCTTTCATTTAAATAACATCTCAGTTTCATCTTTAAATATGCTCACTTATTTTACCAGAACTCAGTCAACCCAAGGAAACATCTGCCTCAGCATCAAGGTGAGGGACTTCCACGTCATGCTGTTCTTACAGATGTTGAAACAGCTGGTGCTGATCCAGTAAAGTAACAAAAACAAGTCACTGAAAATAAATCCACAAAAATTAGACTTTTGATTTGTAGTTTGTCTTAATAAAACAATAATAATAAAATTGATCTGGGCTATGTGATGAAATGCTTCGAAAAGATGAAACAGAATTTGAGTCTTAGAAGATATGAAAGATTACTATTGGCCAGCGTGTTAAAGATCAAGGCAAGAAGACTAAAGGCTGGAAGACCATCTCTGATGTTCCTCCTGACATTTGGTCCAAAGGACTGTAGACAAGCTGCATGGACATCAAACCATGAGGACAACTGATGATTAAAGAGACAAAAATATGACCGATTGCCAAACAGCCCAGAATAACTTTCATAGACTAAAGGTCATCTCTAAGGTCAAAGTTCATCTGGGTCAGATCACATTGTCTGTTACTGGTAGAGTCAGAGGAAGATGTCCTAAGAGGACAGTAAATCTTGAATTGGAAGACTGGATATTCATTTCGTCTCTACTGCATGTCGTAACACTTCATCTGTATTTTAACTTCATGTTGTTGCAACAGGTCCAAATCCTTCAGCACCACTCAAAAAGAGTGTCCAAGTCCCAGATCCAGTCCATCTCCCTCCTCTAACTCTGCTCCACTGCTCAGGTACCGTCAGCCCTTCTGTCCAACCTGCTGCTGGTCTGTGTGTTCACATCTCAGCAAATCAATAGTCTAGTCACTGGTAGGCGTGTCTGTTGGTCAGAAAGCTGGTGGTCTGATCCCAGCTTCCCCTTCCACATGTGACGTGTCCTTTAGCAAGGCATGGATGCGTTTGGTAAACGACATAAAGTTGTGTTAAATCTTACAAAGAGGTGATTCTATATTTGTGTCATTTTGTGTTCCACTTCACAGCCACGAGTTGTAAAAACACACACACACACACGTATGCATGCATGTGAGTCGATGTGTGCATGTGTGTGTGTGTGTGTGTGTGTGTGTGTGTATGTATGTATGCATACGTACACACACACATACGCATGGATCCACACACAGGCACATATTCACACACACATCCACTCACATGCAGCACCCACACAAACACACACGCACACGCACACGCACACACTCACACACACACACACACACGCACACACACAGACATGCATGCTTCCACACATATGCATATGTACACACACCCACACACACACAAACACACGCATGCTTACACACACGCACACACACACACACACAAACACACGCATGCTTACACACACACACACACACACACACACTTTTCCTGATTTTTAATCTACATAAAGAGTTTTTTGATCGTTTATGACTGATTGCAGTAATTGCTCCTGTTAAAGACTCGTTACACCGAAGACAGAAGTTTATGTTTTAGTGGAAGTAAAATTCAGGAAGCTGACCTGAGGAAGTAGCTGCTGCTGTTTCTGCAGAGACGAGCAGTCACTCGGATACAGCAGAACTTTAATGATGACCTCACAGACCGTTCAGTTTGCTCTGATGGGTCCCGCTCTAACATTCCACGTGAACTGCTTTTGTACTTTGTGGCTCCTTTTCATGATGTGAACAGATGTGTTTTCTTCTGCAGGTCCAAGGTGAAGAAGAGCTCTGAAGGTCCAGAGGGTGATGCTGATTTGGAACAAATTAAACAGGTTAGAGCTAAGTTTGATGTCAAACAGCCAGTCTTGTGTTCCGACTTTCTTCTGATTCTTAAAAGTTTCTCTTCTAAACCTTGATGAGGCGTCTCTTTCTCCTGCTAAAGGGGGTAGAGTTGTTTCACCGAGAGTAAAAACTGACTATTATCCCTTTAACTATTTAAAAAACAACCGAGAAAGTGAAAAGAGAAGCTCCCCCTAATGGTTTGGTTTACGTTTAAAGGAAATCATCGAGGAAGTCAAAAAAGAACTTCACAAACTAAAGGAGGAGATAATCAGTGGTGAGTTTGGACTTGAAGTCGTAGAAGATCATAAAATATGTTTTTCATATCTAAACGACAAGATGTTCAGTAGAGGTGCTGAAAAATATCGATTCAAATCTGAATCGGGATTCTTATTTATAAAGATTCAGAATCGATTCACAAAGGTTCAGAATCGATTCCAAGAACTCAAATATTTGTTATGTTGCAGGTTTGAGACGCACTTTTTAAAATCTTTGTTAGGAGAGTCAGTACTCCGTTCACTTTTGTGGTCCCATAAATTGAATCTGCTGATAAGAGGACACTTGAATGTAATTTTTTCCATACTCAGAAATTTGAGATATTCTCATATTTATTTTCTAAGTTGATAAATGAGTACTCAGGATTACTCATGTAACTTGTTCATACGCATACTTGAAAAGTATTTGACGGTATTACTTTCAAAGCTACTGTTTGGTAACTACAGATTTGTTATATTTTACAAGGTAAGCAAAAATAAATGTTGCCTTTTGGTCAAACGATTGCTTCTGTTTACAGTTTTAGAATCACTTTATTTTACATTGTAAATTTACATTTTTGGAGCATGACCAGTTTAAAGTCAAATAAAAATGTCCCACAGCTTTAACTAACTTGTACAACAAGTTAATCCTGGAGCTGACACTCTTCGTTAATACTGATTGTGAATCGATTTAAATTGAGAATTGATTCTGAATCGAATCGGCACCCCAAGAATCGGAATCGAATCAAATCGAGAGTTGCTCTAAGATTCACATCCCTAATGTTCAGTCTGCTGTTTGTCTTCCAGCACTGATCGATGAGCTTCACAAAGGAACACTTCCCAGTTAAGCCTGTTGGTGATGCATCTGTTGACAGATCTGCAGAGTTACAGCATTATGGAGAACGTATTAATAAATAGGACTGTCATTAGAATGTCTCATAAATATCTGAGTGAATTCATACTAGGCTACATGAACCAGAGGCATACGCCCATTAGACTGTTTTGCATGTGGCTGGAAATAATAAAAAAGTCATTGAATTTGTTTACTTGTTTTGTTCGTGTGTGTGTGCGTGCACATGCATGCATGAGTGTGTTCGCTGTAACGTCCAAGATAAGCTTTAAACAACGACACGTGTTCTTTCCACACTGGGGACACAACCTTGATGTTTGAGGCTTGAAATCTGATTTCTGAATAAAGTCAAAGGTCCAGTTTCAGACCTCAACAAATAAAGGAGTCTGACACAAGTGAATTGAGTGGTGGTGATTCAAGCGCGGGTCTGTGAGCGGGGTGGGGGTGTGGGGACAGAGGAGGCTGGCGAGACCAACATGTCCACACCCACTGATACAAGGCTTCGGTATCAAAATAACTTTATTGGCCTTCAAGACCAAAATGCATAAGAAAAGAAAAGAAAATATCTTTTCCATTGCGCCTCTCAAGATAAAAATCACGAGGCGCTTCACAATAACAAAAAATTTTAAATATAAAAATAATTTAGAAAATTATTAAAAATATATTTAAAATGAGCAAAAATAGACAATTGTGATTAAAAAATGTAAAGAAATAGAGTGAATAGGAGAGAGGGAAATCAGTGGATCCTGGGAAAGGTAGAATGAGAGCAGAACAAGGAGAGGGTGGTGAAGAAGGTCTTCAGCTGCTTTTTAAAGGAGACCACTGAGTCCACTGATCTCAGGCTCAGGGGGAGAGAGTTCCAGAGTCTGGGGGCCACAGCAGCAAATGATCTGTCACCTTTGGTCTTTAGCCTGGTGCTGCACAACCAGTAGGCTTTGATCACTGGACCTCAGGGTCCTGCTGGAGGTGTAGGGACTAAGAAGTTCACCAATGTAAGATGGTGCTTGTCCATGTAAGGCCCTACAGACCAGAACCAGAAACTTGAAATGAACCCTGAAGTTGACTGGCAGCCAGTGAAGCTGGAGGAGAAGCGGGACAAAAACCTGCTGCACCATCTGCAGAAGAAAAGCCTCCACATGCCCTCTAGTGGCAACCTGCAGAAAAGGTGAGGACAGCAAAACACACCCACAGCCCCCAAACCACATCAGCCACGTCGTACACACTCCCTTCTGCTGAATCACTCAGTGGGTAGGTCCAGGTGAGAGGATGTCACAGATATTCATGTCACTTTTTGAATGTTCTTCAAAGAGTTCAGGTCTGTGAGTTTGTCTATGTAGATATGTGACCCAAACCCATGAGCGGATGGATGAGCCAAAGGTACATCAGTGAGGGTGGATGTTGGCTGATGTTTAATTCCTCACTGATACTTTTGGCACATGACCAGATTTATGGTGGTTTTCTCCTCATTTGCTGCTCCTTCTGTTGTCCTGGAAGAAGGATGTGAATCTCACCAAACCCACAGACATGTTTCTTCTCCTTGTTCTCCGTGTCTGGCTCATGGATGTCAGTTTGGTGAGATGAGCAGTTGGAGTGCTCCATGTCATTCCACCCAAAACCTAAGGTACCTGTTGCTGCCTGCTGAAAACAAACACTTTCTTCGCTTTCATCTGCAGCTAGAAGGAGCGATAGCTGCTTTTTACCAATAAAGCAGTTCCCATTGTTATTCTACTTGCACTCGTTTGCAGTTTTCCATTCATCTTTTCAAGTCCTGTGAATATTCTGGTAGTTTATTACTGTATTTTTAAAAATGTTATATTCTATTTACTCTTTCAAATATTAATTTCCTACATAATATTCACTAGAGCCTGTTAGTTTTTATTCTTGTTGTGAATCTGCTGCTGCTGCACCAACATTTGGCCATTGAGGGGAAATAAAGTACATTTCTATTCTATTTGACTTTCATTCTACTTAGACATGACTATCATCCCACAGCTGGATTGTTTTCTATCATCCAGTAAAATAAACTCAGCATTGTTGTATCATCATCAACAGTGTTACTGAAATCTGCATTGATGAGAAACAGAAACCAGAAGATCTGGAACAGTTTGTTTTAATCACTAAAATGACTGATATTAAAAATAAAATCCTTATCTGCAGAAATGAGAGGACTTTGAATTAGTAATGGTAGTGAGGTGAGTACTTGTAATGTAAAAGGGGAAACATCAGTTAGCTTCCACCTTTTCTTTGAACTTGGAGACATTTATCTTATTTTTCTGTTGCCTTTTATTCTTTGTTGTGTTGTTGTCTGGCGGAGTCCACCAGCTGGTGACGAGGTTGTAGGAAATGTAAGTTATAATTAATGTGTGATGTGTTCAACAAATAAACTTAATCATTCATTCAAATTAAAATGTGAGTAAAGTTTATTGAATAAAGTTTAAAAGATCTGATTCTAGAACCCATGTTTTAATAGTTTTGTGTTGAATAGTTTTATTTCTCATTTTACATGATTGTATTTTATTACTGGCTTTGCATGTTTTATATGATCATATTTTAGCACAGTTTCATGATTTAATAATATTATTTTACTGTCCATATGAATTTATTTATTATTTATTTTCTTACTTATGTCATTTATATTGGCTCTTTTATTTTCATATTTTTACTCATTTTAATCCAGTGTTTCCTCTGTAGGGGCCCTCTGCCCCAGGGGCGGTGGTCGACTGTTGCTTCCTGGGCGCTCTACAGGTAGCGTTTAAGTGGAGCTGGGGGTCTATGCTCCCCCTTCTCTGCGCCCTGACTTAGTGTGGAAGACCTGATGCTGCTGGGGCAGACGGCTCCTCTGATGGCGTTTCCTTGCCTTACCTTACTTGGCTCATCTGGACTTAGCCAAATATACACTTTTATTGGTGTGTGTGTGTGTGTGTGTGTGTGTGTGTGTGTGTGTACAGTGCTTTATAAATAAAATCTGATTGATTGATTGATTGATTAATAAAAAGCGATCTGAAGTATAAAAATGTGGCAGAAAATGCCAGTTTTTTACATTTCTGACATCAAAATGAAGTTAAATGAAATCAGTTTCAAAAACAGACAAACATGAAGTTTGTAGTGAAAACAAAGTCATGTTGTGTTTTAGAAGATGTTTGCTTTCTGGTTCCATTCCTTAAACCCTTAAATTTACAGGTTTAATGAATGCAATGGGGTTTTGTCCCATGGGTGGGATGCTGGAATGTTAACCCTCCCACTGTCCTAATGGGTGACCCCGCGAGGAAAGTTGACCATTGAGCAAATAACGCGTTGGGCGTATAGAGTGCTTTACACATTTCTGGCTAAAGAACACTTTAAAAAAGATATTCAGCAGGTTTGCGTGTTGGGGTCCTGTCAGCAATCACTGAATGGGCCAGCTACTGGGAAACACCAAATGTGCTTAGTTGGTCAACGGAGAGGAGCAGGCCAACACGAGCTGAGAAATGTCTTTAAATTGGTCCCACGACCTTCAAGATAATCCACTAATGGGTTGCGGTCCATATGATATACTTTTTGGGCTAAATGTTGATAGTCCCAGAGTGGGCTGGCCCAAAAATGTGTGTCCACCTATCGGGTACTGCGCCGCCCATGGCTGCCCACAACACACCCTACAGGGGCAGGAAAACTGCTCCAAGCATCGTAGCTTCTGGGATCGTTGCAACAGCTCTTACTAAGCTCACCCGTTTAGCTGGTCAGTGTCAACAAGGGTTGAGACAAGAGCAAAGCACACACATGATTAAGGTACATGTTTATTATAATTATTAAATAAGCAATGCAACATTCACCTACATGAAGCAAATCAAGTCAAACATGTTAATGTGCACATCTTCATGAAGATTAGCTGAAGTTACTGATGGGCCCCGCTGCGTAGAGTGTTGTCTGGAGTCAGTCTGACGATGCGGTAAATAAAAGCAGATAACTTCAAACAATCCATGTTTGGAAATAAATATATAAAATATATTTAAATGTTCCTGATTTTATTGTTGTGAAAGAAGCTTTGTGATGCACTGCACCCATAACAGAACAGCGTTTCTTTTCTTTCTGTGCCACTGCGGTACAGTTTGCAGAACACTGTGAATGGCTTTTGTATTCATTTGACAAACTTTCCTTAGTACAGAGAAGTGTTTGAGGATGACAGTGAACTAAACAATAACCAGAATAATTAGGGATGCATGGGCTGGGTTCTGGTTTCAACTCAGCCCCAATTTACACCAGGTGTGTGAGCGGTGCAGCGCAGCAGCAGGATGGTCTCCACAACCAAGAAGTTGTTGAAGTCTATGGTACGGTTTACACTAGGTGGTACATACACCGCAGTACATGTACGTACATGCCATGCGTCCTTGTGTTAGAATCCGTAGTTAACATTGAGCTAAACAAGAAATCACACACAGCATCAGTGTAAAGCATCCGATTAATTTCTAAAAGAAAGAACAAAGCAGAGTTGTGACTGCTGAGCGGTGTAAACATTACTGCATTACCACTCGTTGGAGCGTTGGTGCATACATCATCAAGGGTTACGAGACTTTTTCCCTGGCAGTGGGGAATCATCAGGTTTTATTTGACACCAAAAAGGAGAAGGCAACTATTGGAGTGGATGGTGAGTAGAAAGAAGTTCACCATCCATCATAATTAAAACACATAATTTGAAAGTATACAACATTCATTTTCCTGTGGTATTTTGATCTTGCGAGTCCAGTTAAGGACTGTGGCACCGCTGCTCCACATCTGTTGCACTCCTAGGTGGGGACTGATGCTGTACAGATGAAACCTGCTGCTATAAAGCACTGCACACACACCTGATGTAAATTGGGGTTGTGTGTGAAAGACGTGTAGTGCAGTGGCTGAAAGGGCAATTACCTTAGATAAACAAAGCTGTTTGTAAGTCGTTTCTATAGTGAGGAATCCATTCATTCATGGCTTGTTGGAGGAACTGACTACAGGAGGCATACCTGACACACCAACTAACAAGCTATAAAGAACTTGCCAACCTCCAGATATCACCGAAACAAAATCATGTTCTATGTAGCATAACTATGCATTTACTCTCTATTTTATTTAGATCTTCCATGTTGTTTTTGCTCATGAGTTGGAGCTTCAGAGCATTTGTTTTATGAGTCAGTCCCTCCACCGACATATAATGGATGGTTGATGGGAGGTGAGGTTTCCCACACATCAGGTCCCACTTGAACCAGGGCCTGGCCCACACCACAGTTGTACTGGAGTATTCAGCTTTAGCCACAGTTGCTGTTGTGGCCCCAGAAGAGTACCAAGGTTGATGGAGAAGGTTCCTGAAGTTGTCTTTTGTGTGCATCTTTCAAAACAAATCACACCTTTCAAAGGGCTCACATTAGGCAAAACTCACCAATTGTGCTGTCGTGTGTGTCTACTGCCTCTGTAAACACTCCAACCATGAAAAAATATCTGTCCAGCCATTTTCTGTCAGTGTTTGGTTTTAGGAGTAATGTGTTTAAAACAAGCCAATTCAAACAGTAGAAAGTGCAAGAGAGGCTCTACGCGAGCCCCTCCTGGGTATCGGAATTCCTAATAAAGATATAAACAACAGCATTTACTCCTCCTTGAACCGTCACCTTATCGTGGTGGAGGAGTTTGAGTGCCCTAATGATCCTAGGAGCTATGTTGTCTGGGGCACTTAGTGCCCCTGGTAGGGTCTCCCATGACAAATTGGTCTTAGGTGAAGGGTGAGACAAAGAACGGTTCGAAGGATCTTTCATGGCGGTTAAAACGAAGAGTCGGAGTACCCGGCCCGGAGGGTTACCGGGGTCCCACCCTGGAGCCAGGCCTGGGGTTGGGGCCCGTGAGCGAGCGCCTGGTGGCCGGGCTTTCACCCATGGGGCCCGGCCGGGCCCAGCCCGAACCGGATACATGGGCTCGTCCAACTGTGGACCCACCACCCGCAGGAGGAACATGAAGGGTCCAGTGCAATGCAAATCGGGTGGCAGACCAAGGCGGGAGCCTTGGCGGTCCAATCCCCAGACAAGAAAACTAGTTTTTGGGACATGGAACGTCACCTCGCTGGCGGGGAAGGAGCCGGAGCTTGTGGCAGAGGTGGAGCGGTACCGGCTAGATATAGTCGGACTCACCTCGACACATTGCATTGGCTCTGGAACCCGAGACCTGGAGAGGGGTTGGACACTCTACTTTGCTGGAGTTGCTCCGGGTGAGAGGTGGAGGGCTGGGGTTGGCTTTTTGTTAGCCCCGAGACTCTCTGCCTGTGTGTTGGGGTTTACCCCGGGGGACAAGAGGGTAGCTTCCTTGCGCCTTCGGGTCGGGGAACGGGTCCTGACTGTTGTTTGTGCTTATGGGCCAAATATCAGTTCAGAGTACCCACCCTTTTTGGAGTCCCTGGGACGAGTGCTAGATAGTGCTCCATCAGGGGACTCCATTGTCCTGCTGGAGGACTTCAATGCTCACGTGGGCAATGACAGCTTGACCTGGAGGGGTGTGATTGGGAGGAACGGCCCACCTAATCTGAACTCGAGCGGTGTTTTGTTATTGGACTTCTGTGCAAGCCGCAGTTTGGCCATAACGAACACCATGTTCGAACATAAGGATGCCCACCGGTACACTTGGTACCAGGGCAGCCTAGGTCACAGGTCGATGATAGATTTTGTAGTCGTATCATCTGACCTGCGGCCGTATGTTTTGGACACCCGAGTGAAGAGAGGGGCGGAGCTGTCAACTGATCACCACCTGGTGGTGAGTTGGATCAGATGGCAAGGGAACATGCCGCGTAGACCTGGCAGACCCAAACGCATAGTGAGGGTCTGCTGGGAACGCCTGGCAGAAGAACCTGTCAAGACGGTCTTCAACTCCCACCTCCGGCAGAGCTTTGACCACGTCCCGAGAGCAGTGGGGGACATTGAGTCCGAGTGGGCCTTGTTCCACTCTGCAATTGTCGAGGCGGCTGTTGCTAGCTGTGGTCGTAAGGTGGCCGGTGCCAGTCGTGGTGGCAACCCCCGTACCCGCTGGTGGACACCAGAGGTTCGGGGAGCCGTCAGGCTGAAGAAGGAGGCCTACAGGGCGTGGCTGGTCTGTGGGTCTCCGGAGGCAGCAGACAGGTACCGGATAGCCAAGCGGGGTGCAGCAGTGGCAGTTGCCGAGGCAAAATCTCGGGCGTGGGAGGAGTTTGGTGAGGCCATGGAGAAAAACTATCGATCGGCTCCAAAGAGGTTCTGGCAAACTGTCCGGCGCCTCAGGAGAGGAAGGCAGCAACTCGCTCACACTGTTTACAGTGGGGATGGGGAGCTGCTGACGTCAACTGAGGCTATAGTCGGACGGTGGAAGGAATACTTTGAGGAGCTCCTCAATCCCACCAATGCGCATTCCGAGGAGGAACCAGAGCTGGGAGGCCTGGGGATGGACTGTCCGATCTCGGGGGCAGAAGTTGCTGAGGTAGTCAAACAACTACACAGCGGCGGAGCCCTGGGGGCGGATGAGGTTCATCCTGGGTATCTCAAGGCTATGGATGTTGTAGGGCTATCATGGTTGACACGTCTCTACAACATTGCGTGGTCATCGGGGGCAGTTCCTAGGGAGTGGCAGACCGGGGTGGTGGTCCCCATCTTTAAGAAGGGTGACCTGAGGGTGTGTTCCAACTATAGGGGGATCACACTCCTCAGCCTCCCTGGAAAGGTCTACTCCAAGGTACTGGAGAGGAGGGTCCGATCGATAGTTGAATCGCAGATAGAGGAGGAGCAATGTGGTTTTCGTCCTGGCCGTGGAACTGTGGACCAGCTCTATACCCTTGCAAGGGTGATGGAGGGGGCATGGGAGTTTGCCCAACCAATCCACTTGTGCTTTGTGGATTTGGAGAAGGCTTATGACCGTGTCCCCAGGGGCACCCTGTGGGGGACGCTCCAGGAGTATGGGGTGGGTGGCTTTCTGTTAAGGGCCATTCAGTCCCTTTACCAGAGGAGCGTGAGTTTGGTCCGCATAGCCGGTAGTAAGTCGGACCTGTTCCCAGTGAGGGTTGGACTCCGCCAGGGCTGCCCTTTGTCACCGGTTCTGTTCATCACTTTTATGGACAGAATTTCTAGACGCAGCCGTGGTGTGGAGTGTGTCGAGTTTGGTGGCAGGAGAATCTCGTCTCTGCTTTTTGCGGATGATGTGGTCCTCCTAGCTTCATCCAGCTCTGACCTTCAGCTCTTGCTGGGTAGGTTCGCGGCCGAATGTGAAGCGGCTGGGATGAGGATCAGCACCTCCAAATCTGAGACCATGGTTCTCGACCGGAAAAGGGTGGCTTGCCACCTCCGGGTCGGGGGAGAGGTCCTACCTCAAGTGGAGGAGTTTAAGTATCTCGGGGTCTTGTTCACGAGTGAGGGTAGGAGGGATCGGGAGATCGACAGGCGGATTGGTTCGGCGTCTGCAGTGATGCGGACGCTGAGCCGATCTGTCGTGGGGAAGAGGGAGCTGAGCCAGAAAGCCAGGCTCTCGATTTACCGGTCGATCTACGTCCCAATCCTCACCTATGGTCATGAGCTTTGGGTAATGACCGAAAGAACGAGATCGCGGATACAAGCGGCCGAAATGAGTTTCCTCCGTAGGGTGGCCGGGCTCAGCCTTAGAGATAGGGTGAGGAGCTCGGACATTCGGGAGGGACTCGGAGTAGAACCGCTGCTCCTCCGGATCGAAAGGAGCCAGTTGAGGTGGTTTGGGCATCTGGTCAGGATGCCTCCTGGACGCCTCCCCGGGGAGGTGTTTCGGGCATGTCCTGCCGGCAGAAGGCCCCCGGGTTTACCCAGGACACGTTGGAGAGGTTACATCTCCAATCTGGTCCGGGAACGCCTTGGGGTCCTGCCGGAGGAGCTGGTGGACAAGGCCGGGGAGAGGACGGCCTGGAGCTCCCTAGTTGGGATGCTGCCCCCGCGACCCGGACCCGGATAAGCGGAGGAAGACGAAGACGAAGACGAAGACAACAGCATTTAAATAACTATGTTTGCTTTTCTGATTTTGTAATGACATATTAAATTGTGATTCTCGTTAGATCGTTGTCATAATACAGCAACATTTGAACTCTGGTCAGAATCTCCTTTTAGCCCACGCCCAGGAACTACTGTCAACATGTAGCAGCACTAAATAAAGCAAAGTTTTAACATTGATAACACAGTATCGCTGCACCAAAAGGATCCGGTAGTGAAGTCCTGTAAAAGTGGAAATGTGCCGTTTCACCAGTTGGGAGCCATTTCCGAGTGTGGTTTGTGTCGGGAATGTTGGAACAGAGGAGCTCAGCAAGAAAGGGCTGTAAGGTGATGGGCAAATAAATGATGCTGATGGTGTGGATGGTTGGAAAACATTCGGAGCTCATGCAGGCTGCGCCAGAGGTGAGTTTGGTTGAAGGTAGGAATTCGCAGCCACAATGCAACCCTTGGTCTGGCGGTACTTCAAGTTGGGCAGAGGACTGGAAAGGAACACAACAGCATCTTCTTCAGTAGGAAGATTTGTTGAACATCTGAATTTAATCAAAGGGAATATCACCAAATGTGAAGTTTACCTTTTAATATGTAATCAGTCAGCAGTGTGGGCACCTTCTCGCTGTCCTCCTTCATAGCATAGAGAACTACACAGAAGGGCAGGTCACTCAGTGACTTTACACTTTCTCACAAAAAGAAGAAACTAAACAACAAATCAGTTAGAGGCTTACTTTTTGTGAGCACCTGCAGGTCATCAACAGATGGAGGGATGGCTTTCTTCTCATATGGAATCACAGTGTTTAGATACTGGGAAACAAAAACAAATCACATTTACCGCCAAAGCCATACAGGGCTGTAAAACAGAAAGGCTATGAGAGATCAAATTACGCGTGTATAAAGTGTTAGCGTCAGGTGTCACAGCGTGTTTGTGTGGAAAAACATCCAGGCATCCAGGTCGTGGTAAAATTCTGCAGAGAAAACTCTGCAGGTTTCTTGTTAATGAATACACAGTAAATAATAATAACACAATTAAAATTAATAAAAATTAAATAAAGTAATAATAATAATACATGAAATTTGTTTTTATGTAAATAAATATATAAATACAAAGAGAAAGCAATTTAATAATAACTCTTTTCATTATTAGAGTAATACAAGTCCTTCTCAAAAAATTAGCATATTGTGATAAAGTTCATTATTGTCTGTAATGTACTGATAAACATTAGACTTTCATATATATTAGATTCATTACACACAACTGAAGTAGTTCAAGCCTTTTATTGTTTCTAATATTGATGATTTTGGCATACAGCTCATGAAAACCTCAAATTCCTATCTCAAAAAATTAGCATATTTTACCCGACCAATAAAAGAAAAGTGTTTTTAGTACAAAAAAAGTCAACCTTCAAATAATTATGTTCAGTTATGCACTCAATACTTGGTCGGGAATCCTTTTGCAGAAATGTCTGCTTCAGTGGGGCATGGCATGGAGGCAATCAGCCTGTGGCACTGCTGAGGTGTTATGGAGGCCCAGGATGCTTCGATAGCGGCCTTAAGCTCATCCAGAGTGTCGGGTCTTGCATCTCTCAACTTTCTCTTCGCAATATTCCACAGATTCTCCATGGGGTTCAGGTCAGGAGAGTTGGCAGACCAATTGAGCACAGTAATACCATGGTCAGTAAACCAGTTACCAGTGGTTTTGGCGCTGTGAGCAGGCGCCAGGTCGTGCTGAAAAATGAAATCTTCATCTCCATAAAGCTTTTCAGCAGATGGAAGCATGAAGTGCTCCAAAATCTCCTGATGGCTAGCTGCATTGACCCTGCCCTTGATAAAACACAGTGGACCAACACCAGCAGCTGACATGGCACCCCAGACCATCACTGACTGTGGGTACTTGGCACTGGACTTCAGGCATTTTGGCATTTCCCTCTGCCCAGTCTTCCTAGACTCTGGCACCTTGATTTCTGAATGACATGCAAAATTTGCTTTCATCAGAAAAAAAGTACTTTGGACCACTGAGCAACAGTCCAGTGCTGCTTCTCTGTAGCCCAGGTCAGGCGCTTCTGCCGCTGTTTCTGGTTCAAAAGTGGCTTGACCTGGGGAATGCGGCACCTGTAGCCCATTTCCTGTACACGCCTGTACATGGTGGCTCTGGATGTTTCTACTCCAGAATCGGTCCACAGCTTCCGCAGGTCGCCTAGGGTCTGGAATTGGTCCTTCTCCACAATCTTCCTCAGGGTCTGGTCACCTCTTCTTGTTGTGCAGCATTTTCTTTTCTGCCACACTTTTTTCCTTCCCACAGACTTCCCACTGAAATGCCTTGATACAGCACTCTGGGAACAGCCTATTCATTCAGACATTTCTTTCTGTGTCTTACCCTCTTGCTTGAGGGTGTCAGTGATGGCCTTCTGGACAGCAGTCAGGTTGGCAGTCTTACCCATGATGGCGGTTTTGAGTAATGAACCAGGCTGGGAGTTTTTAAAAGCCTCACCTCTAAACTACCTTAGACCCTGCGGTGTTCCCAGTGTGAATCCCAGTGGACCCACACTTCTATCAGCCCTCTGCTTCTACATAATCCAAGTCAGAGACACATTAGCTTTGAATATTTCTCTCTAGTCCCTCAGTCCATGAGCTCTAAAAGCTTTTAGCCCATCAGACCTCTAACCTCACGTGCCTCCTATCCCTCACACCTCCAGCCTCATCCATCTGGTCTCAAGCTTCTCGGGCCTGCTACACCTCAGAACTCAAACTCTTCTCTTGTAACAGAACACCACTGGCATGAGAGGTTCTCCGCCCAATAACATGAGAGAAGGAGAAACAGCTGGCTGCTACCACTTCAACTTTAGGACAAACTACCCGAGTCCCAAGAAGAAAAACGCCATTTGAAGTCAAGGACAACAAAAGACGTTTGAACGTTGCAAATGGCAGCTGGTGTTTAGCATTATCTGGTTATGCACAGCAGTGCAGCTTTCTAATTTGGGTAGAACCAGGGAAGATACCTGAGAATAGGGGTGAGTGTTCCATGACAGTGTTTGCATTCAAAACCTAGCTTGTTTGCAGAGTCGCTAAATAGCAGATTTAACGTGTTTTGGAACTTACCTGCTTCTCTGTTCCCGGGACTCCAAAGGTCTGTCTAATGCCAGTCTGCAGAATGTTGGACAGGCCCTCCATGCTGAAACGCTACAAGGTAAAACAAGAAGCAAACAAAAACGTTTATTCTGAATTGTCCATGTTTTTCATCGGGGGGTGGGGGGTAAAATGGCTTTCCCATACATGGGGTGCGTAGCTTCATATTTTTAAAGTAAATTAAAAATGCTTAAATTTGACTATGTTACTTTGTTCTGATACAAAGTAGATGACCTTTCATCTTTTTTATTCCCCTAAAGTCCCTATTATGGCCTCTACAGCAAAATGAATAATTTATGCAAGCCTACAGTAGAGGGTTGGTTTGCAAAGCCACACGAGGGAGTTGTCAATCTAAGAAAATGTGCCTCAGTCAACTGAGAACACCAACAGAGAAGAAGAAACGCCAGACATAAAATGGAGCAACCTGAACAAGTACTGGAGTTACCTAATTCTCGACTGCTTTCTACTTGTTAGAGAAAATGTGAATACCTCATGGGTATCAAGCTAACGTATAAAAACAAGTCATCAGTTGACTCTTAAATGATTGCAGTAACAGCGCTTGCCTATCAGCCATCAGCAGACTGGTCCCTAGTGAGGCAGCCATCACAGAGACCTGCTCACCTCGTTTTACCAGCGGTGGGCAGTCAGGGCCAGCAAAGCCTTCTCTGCTGGCCTAAACTTCCTCAAAAACGTAAATGTATTTTTTCCTTTGGTAAATATTTTTAAATCAAAAAATTTTCACTGGTCTATTTTCTTTATATCCTATTATACCCACTTGGTTGCGCTGCTTCCAGTGTTAAAATATCAAGGTTGGGTATTATCCAATCAGATTTCAGCTTTTGTTTTCAGGCAGATTAAGTCTGCCCTAGGCCTTCAGCATCAACCGAGCAGTCCACTGTCCACTGCAAGTGAACAGAGACAATCCAGTTGCGATAGCTAATCAGCTCACGAGTCAGCGTGGCCCACGCAAAACTTGACATGAACGCATCCTGTGATTGGATAAGCGGTAGTTTGAACTTTTCTAGCTCCATTAAGCAAAATATCAAAACTAAACACAGAGATTTGTATCTATAGACAGCCATCATGTATTTTTGAACACCTGATGGCTGAAATAGGAGAAGGGACAGACTTGGTTGTAAATTTACTTGCCACACCATTTTCAAGACGGACCTTTCAAGTAAAAGTGGATCTTGTGAGAGCAGGTCATCTGACTCCAATGCAAGCTGGCTTGTCCCAGCAGGGGAAAGGACTTGTTCGACATTTTCAGGCAAGCAACTATGAACGGTACCCGTGGCTAACAGCTTCAGAGAGCCGCTGCAAGTTATTCTACTGGGAATGCCTGTTGCTCGCATCAGATCGATTTGGTATTTGGAGATTTACTGGGTTTGCCAATTTAAGTTGTTTCACCAAGGCAACAAAGCACGGCTGGGCACATACAAGCTACGATGCTTTTAAAAACCTTTGGGGACACCCGAGTGGATCTGCAGCTCAGCAAACAGGCGCGCAGGGACACGGAGCTCCACAACGAAAAGGTAAAGAAAAATAGGGAGATTTTGAAAAGGCTGATGGATTGTGTCATGCTTTTGGGTAAACAGGAACTTTCATTTAGGGGACATGACGCTGACTTGCATTACCACCTGTCCACCATCAGGGTCTTTACTGGGACATCAGGCAGAATACAAAACAACCTCATTTATGCTATTGCTGAAGTGATGGAAGATGAGATGAAAATGGAGATCAGAAGAGCCCCTTTTGTCACCGTGATGGTTGATGAAACACCGACGTGAGAAACATGGCACAGCTGGCACTCGTCCTGCACAGCCGCAGGTGTCACGGAGCATTTAGTCAAATTTGTGGATGTAACTAGTGGCAGGCGAGCTGATAAACTTGACACACTTATTTTCCGTAATCTTGAGGAATATGAATGCTGTTTGGACAAAGTTGTTGCACAGTGTTACGATGGCGCAGCGGTGATGGCATCTGGACTAAACAGGGTGCAGACTAAAGTTAAGGAAAAGGCACCCTCCTGCGCCAACATGTTCAATTGTTTCGCTGTGCCATTTTCTCCAAAACAAATGCAAATAATGTGTTTGCTTAACTTATTTATTTTAGTGACTCATCTCTTAAACCCGTCTTTCATTTTTGAGATTTGACAGTATCCGTGGTCTTAGTTTCCTACTCCCAATTGTGAATGCGAGTTTGATTTTAAAGGCTCCGGAAATTAAGTGTCTTGACCAGCCACTGGTGTGTGTGTGCATGCGTGTGCGTGTGCGTGCCTGTGTGTGTGTGTGTGTGTGTGTGTGTGTGTGTGTGTGTGTGTGTGTGTGTGTGTGTGTGTGTGTGTGTGTGTGTGTGTGTGTGTGTGTGTGTGTGATTCTGTAAGGATTCTCCAGCTGTGATGTCATATTGATGGTATTTTAAGGTGCATTCGTTTAGATTGGACTGAATAGGAAATCACTGACGGCCCAGGGGTGGAACGCACCTCCCGCCACTGTGTTTTACACATGGTCCATGGGACAGTGAACAATTCTAGCCCAGCTGACCGAAGTGCATGAGACGGAGTGTATCTGTTTAGCAGAGCTGTTAGATAGGCCTTGTAAACATAGGATGGGATTTTAAACTGAGCCCAGTAACACACCGGAAGCCAATGCAAGGGCACCATGATGGACACACACACACACACACAAAGCAATGTATGTAAGACTGATGCGCAAAGCAGCATTGAGTCAAAGGAACGGATTGGTACCACTTATGCTGCCCCTGGTGGTGGAGGCAGTAGAAGGCAGTCTTGCCCTTTATTTATATATTTTATAGTTGAGATTGGACTCTACTTTTACACCTGATTCTATGGCTCATACAGAAATGGTGGTTATGGATGCTGCCTGAGTCTGGTTAGAGTAGCCAAACATAATGGCTTTGGTGTTCATTAGTAAGAGAAAGTTGTGTTCTTTGTGTTCTTTCCACACCTTTATCTCCCTCAGGTACTTGTGGGAGGAGATGGGAGTGAAGATGATGGAGATGATTGTAGAGATGGAAATGAAATGAAAACTAAAAGCTGCTTCATCATTGTGGAATCAATATGATATTTTTCATCTATTGTCCCACCTTGACAGGCATGGTGCTTGTCTTCTCTGAGCCTCCAGTCAATCCACAGCTCCCCCCGTTGGTGGACCCTGTTCCTGCCCCTTGCAGGCTGAGGGTCTTGTTTTGACATCTGCGTTTTCCGCTCTCTCGTTGCTCCTTCTGCCTGTTCTGCACCTCCATTAGTGCTGTTATGAATGTGTTCTTCACCTCTTTTTCAAACTCCAGCTCATCTCGACGTGCCAGTTGGTTGACCAGCTCCTCTGAGTACTCACAGATAGCAGACTCCACCCGCTGCAGCAGCTCAGCAAGTGATGGATCAGACATCAAACTCAGACCTACAGGATGGATTAAACAAGCAATGAAAAGGAAATTAGTGAGTCTGTAACAGGAATCAGGAACCAGGGTAAACAATCTGACACTTTTAGAGTTCTACAGCAGGACCACAACCAGTCTCACACTCACTGGCCCAATAAGTAGCTTTTAGCCACCGTTATAGTCGATGGGTTTGTTCAGTTCAATTCAATTCAATTTTATTTATATAGCGCCAAATCACGTCAAGAGTCGTCTCAAGGCACTTCGCATAATAAACATTCCTATTCAGGTCAGTTCATTAAGCCAATCAGAAATAATGTTTCCTATATAAGGAACCCAGCAAATTGCATCAAGGCACTGACTGTTTGTTTTCACCGGCTGCAAAGCAGGGCATCTTGGACGAAGAGTAATGTCACGTTGCTCCACTAACTTTACATTTATGTCTATGTTTTATGTGTTATGCTTCCAGAATGCATCAAGCTAAGCAGTTCTGATTGGGTAGAGAGGAAATGAAACATGGCAGTAGTGTAAAATATCCTGCAACTTTCAAAATAAAAGACACACTTAGATTTCCTATTGCTTAACTGGATAAAAAGATACGTGGCCTCTGTGGCTCAGAAAATTCACCATGGAACTTGTGGGAACATGCTGCCATCTTTCTCCTGGCATGTTATCATGTGACCTTCCAGGACTAGCTGCATCGAACACATCTTCACACCTGAGTGGTCCCAGTGGGATGAGACGCCCCTGCGAGTTCCCGGTGAAAGCACGTCTATTGTGCTACGCACCGCTTACGCATCTAGCGGAAAGCTCGGGTCAAACTTCACAAGCACAGTAAAACTTTTAAAAATTATTTAAAACTATTAAAAAAGAGAGTGAAAAGTTAAAAGGAATAGAAACGCATGATGCTGGTTATCTTACGTCAGATGAGAAAAAGTGGACACAAAAAATTTGTTATTTAATGGCCAGAGTTTCTATTTCTGAAAACTTCATAGAAGTAAACATATACATTTTAAAAAAGTGTAATTTTTTTTTTCGTAAAAAAAAATTATTGAGCCAACAACATGAACAACAAAACATAATTATTGTGATTGACCTTCATGGGAGCAGTTGTTGTTGGAAGCTTCTGACAGCTGTCTAATCTCCTCTATCAAGGAGGGGTTAATCCTGGAGGAGCAGTGGCTGCTCTCCTCATCATCATCTTCCTCTGTTTCAACAGGATCTGGTGAGTTCTCCATCATCTCCACGATCTCCTCAATCACCTATAGGAAAGAGAGAGACAGAGGAAATCTAAGGATGGACACAAAACTGATGGGAGAAATCTGTAAGACAGATAAGTTTGTAGTGTCCATATGTCAGGAGCCACAAGAATGCTAAAAGCTTCCTCTGTAGCGGTGGATGTCAGAGTTAAATCCATTATTAATGTCTGCACAGACGATGGATGTCTGAGCTGCTCCAACAACACCGCGGCGTACTGTCTGTCAGCAGGTTAATCTTGTTAGATGGAATTACTTTCAAATAAGTGAAGAAAGTCTCAAAAAAGCAATGTTTTGAGTTTGAGAGTAAAGTACAACACAAAGTAAAATAAGTACACAGTTTCTCCATGGAAGTTCACGTGAGTGGGAGCTCAGCATTGATTTTGTTTATGGGTGGAGCCTATTCCAGCATTCAGTCCATTTTACAGGAAGCCAGACATGATGAGCACAGCAGTTGAGCTCAGAGCACAGGAGAAGGCTGCTCAAGTACTTGAGATCAGCTTTGGTTTCTGGAAGACAAAACACGTTTCCAGGAAGAAACTTATTTGTCAAACTGCTCTGTTCATTGTTGAACTTACACACAAACTCCAACATGTGAATGAGAAACTTTCTGATTGGAAAAGGTAATGACCCAGCATGCTAAACCCAAGTTTAAATACAGAGCTATGCTGTCAACTATAAATCACAACGATGCACTTTGTTCATCACTCTGTGTACCGCTGAACTTGACAGCACCCGCCATGACATGACTTCTCTGTTGATGGACTACTTCCAGTCTGTCATCTACTCCGTTCCCTCTACTCCCTTACCCTGTCACCAAGGCCGTTTCCAAATTACTGAGGTTGGATAATTACTGCATAGGCGACTATCTTTCCGCTGCAACCAATAATTTAGCCCCAAGTGGTGCAATGAGTTTCTTCTTATTTCTTAAACAACCGTGGTCGTGGAAAATATGTGAGTCTGTGTGAGAAGGGTCAGATCACTGGCATGCATCAAGCAGAGAAAACATCTAAGGAGATGCAGATATGACTAAAACTGGGTTAAGAACTGTCCAACGCATTATTAAAATCTGGTCTGATGAGTCCAGGTGGACCCTGTTCCAGAGTGATGGTGCATCAGGGTAAGAAAAAAGGCAGATAAAGAGATGCACCCATCATGCCTAGGGCCTACTGTACAAGCCTGTGGGGGCAGTGTTATGATCTGGGGTTGCTGCAGTTGGTCAGGTTTAGGGTTAGCAACAGGATGTGCTCCAAGAATGAGGTCAGCTGACTACCTGAATATCCTGAATAACCAGGTTATTCCATCTTCCCTGATGACACGGGCGTATTCCTGGATGACAATGCCAGGATTCATCAGGCTCAAATAGTGAGAGTGAGGGGGGTCATACTGACCTGATCTGCTGTGATGAGAGGTTCTTCATTCAGGCAGTTGACTTTCTCATTCTTCACATTCATCTCCTCCTGTTTTTCTTGAATCTAAATAGTGAGAGAGGAAATAACTCACATCCAGGAAACTTCTCAGTGGCCTGGTGGTATCGGTGTCTGCCTGAGACTGAGATCAGGGTTCAAATCCAGTTGGGTCGTATCTACTCACACTCCCTGCATGACACTCAGCCCTAAGGGATTGGGGGGTTAAACATGAGCGCGGCCACTGCTGCAGCTCACCGCTCCCCATGGGGATGGGTCAAATGTGGAAATGTAATTTAACCTGTGTGTGATGATGACTAATGTGACTTTTACACTATGACTATATTTGTATGTGTGAGAGGGATTAAAGGGGTGAGTTTACTTTCACAATAGTAACATTAAGCTTAATGTTCAAGCAATTAGACAAAAATAGCCTAGATGTTTTGAGTTTAGCTGTAGTTTTAATTAATTTTGGTAGGGAGGGGACATACAGTAAATATACACAATAAAACGTCGTGCCATTGGAACATCTTGAACAATTCCTGGTGTAAAAACATACTATTGAGGAAAGGCTATAAATCACGGTGAGGTATGTCACTGCACACCATACTGGAATTAGTTATGTAATTAGGATAACCATTGGGTGTCATTTTTTATTGAGCAAAAAGGTGGATGTGACCAGCAACAGCTTGTAAGGGAGTCCTGAAATGGCTCATTCTGGAAGGTACTGAAAATGTCAAGACTAAAGCTGGTGAAATCTTGCAAATCTGGACAAATCGTAAAGAATTTACAACCATTTTTGTACACACCGATGGCTTTATAAAATAAAGTCATAATATGCCCCTTTACAGTTAGTCCAGCAATGGTGGCATTCCTCAGAACATGAACATGAAAATATTAATCTAATCTAATCGCTATGCTCAAACAGGACAATAGCAAGTGTTTTTATTGCTATCTTGAAACAAATAAAAAGAAGGGGTGGCATTTACCTCCTCGTCTGAAAGATTTCCATTGTGTCCATCAGAGTTGGGGCTGTCCCATGTGGAGATGTAGTTGTCAGTTAGGGCGCCCCACACACTGTGGCACGATACAAGCATAAATCACATTAAGGGAGGCAGGGGCCAAACTAACAAGAATGAAGCCACTATTGTAAATTGAGCAGTCAGAAAGTTTTTTTTAACAGGATAAACATGAATGAGTGATGTTTACTAGTTCATGTCAGTGCAAAGAAAAGTAAAAAGCTTCTATCTTCATCTTCAAGTTAAAAGTGAGTCACCTTTGTCTCTGAGCCTTTCTGTTTAAATTGTTTTCTTCCTACTGTTTTGAGGTCTTGGTTTGGCTAAACTGCAACACTATTTAATCTCTATTTAAAGTGCAAGTCACCCCAGAATTTTTTTTTTTTTTTTTTGCTGTAGACACTTGTAATCAATAATTTTGCAATTTAGTGCATCTTAGTTCAAATTTAAATATCCATCCATTCATTTTCAGCCACTTATCAGGAATCGGGTCATGGGGGCAGCAGCCTAAGCCGAGACGCCCAGACTTCCCTCTCCCCAGCTACTTGGGCCAGTTCTTCCGTGCGAATCCCAAGGCGTTACCTGGCCAGCCAAGAGACAAAGTCCCTCCAGCGTGTCCTGGGTCTTCCCTTGGGTCTCCTCCCGGTTGGACGTGACCGAAAAACCTCACCAGGGAGGCGTCTAAGAGGCCCGATGCCCGAGGCACCTCAACTGGCTCCTCCAACTGTCTAAAACTGTCAGTCTCGCACCCTCTTCAGGTAAAAACTCTGCACTGTATTAGAATTTGCATCTGCTATTGGCTAGGAGATAACCTTTGACTTCAGCTTGTACCATAAGGCCTGGGGCACACCAGAGGCGGACGCGCCACGGCGCACCCGCGCTGTAATTTTTAATAAAAGCCATTTTAGCTCATGGGAGTGGGCACATGGGGAGCGCTGCACCGTGTCCAAGAAGCGCCGCGCCGAGGCGCTGAAGATAGGCGCTGGCTCTATCTTCAGCGCCGCGGCACAGCTGTTTACAACATTGTGGAGTACTTTACAACAGACATTACGACGCTGGAGCAGTTTTACAGCACAAACCCAGCCGCAGGTTTGAAAACTTTAAAGTACTATTAATCTTAAAATATTTTAATAAATAACGTACTTACCCACTGTTAATAAATTAGAGTCTCACAAAACACGAAGACAAGTCTGATCACGTCTAAACGATAGACTCCCTTTCCGCTTCCTATTCTCAAGTCCCGCTTGATGTTGTGACTATCACTTTCCAAGAAGCGCTCAGCGGCGCGTCCTGTGTGACCATTCGATTTCTCAAAACCATCAATATGACAAAGTTCCTTAGGGTGCCTTTAGCTGCCAGTAAATTTAGCACCACTTTTGGGTTATTGGAGTCCCTCTCCTACCCTAGTGCACTCACAAACACCCAAGTATGCACACAACAGCCAAAGTGAAGATATCTTAATCCCTCCATGATCAGAAAGCAAATAAACTATGTGTAAAGTTGCAACTGGCTGATTAAACGTGACACTAAAATTCAAAAATCCCTTTCTAAACTTAATTTCCTGACTTGGTTCATCTCCCATGATGTTCTCTTGTTTTACAGTGTACATTACAAAACATGGCGACTTTCTAAATAAGGTGACATCATTTAGGAATATTTGAGGCAGCCAATGACTACTTCTGTATGGAGGAATTGGGAACACTGCACGTAAAGCATCAAATTCTCATAAGCCCAAATCTGACCAAATCAAATCTCAGTTAGTCTAACCAAATTTCCTCTGATGACCATGAATCAACATAAATACGTAGCGGTATACAATATAATGTATAAATGGCTGTAGATTAATGTAAAATAGATTTTAGATAGGGGGTCACTAACTCTTCATCCTGCAGCTGCTCCTCATCCTCCTGGTTGTGGGACTGACTGCGAATGGGAGCCAAGCCCTCCGTCTTGGTGTTGTAGTTGTGGAAGCAGACATTGAGCTTCTCGTCAAACTGATTGACCAGGTCCTCCATTGATTTGAAGCTCATCATCTCAGAAAAGTTTTCTAGCTCTGAGAAGTCTTCACGGTTGATGGGGAGGAGAGGGACCGTGGTGGTGGAAGAGTAAGAGGAGTGGTTGAGAGCAAGATGGTCCAGCTCATCCATCCGACAGGGTCGGAGGTCTTCAAACTCCTCATCCAAGCACACAATAGGGGCTTCCATCATGTCTCGCCTCAGTTTGTTGTCTAGACCCTGCACAGAACAATGAAAGTGGGTTGACTGAGTCACAGAAACAAGTAGAACAAGAGTAGGCACATCCCTGTGATGCTCAGGTTTGGTGAGGGTTTTAATTGTCAGAGAGAAATTTTGGAAATCTTGCACTGGTTGTTCAAAAGCATAAAGTCCTGATGTTCATGACTGACTTTTGCTCCATGACCCCACCCCGCTCTCAGGGAAATTAACATTGGATGCCATGATAAGGTGCTTCTTCCTTTAACTGCAGTTCTGCATGATTTTCATTCATTCATTTACTTAGGGACAGTGTGCATTAAAGATAATCTTACTAAATATTAATGGACTAATGGAAATCCATTAATGGAATATTAACGGAACATGCCAAATTATAGCAGAAATGTTAATTTACATCCACAGTCCCTAGACAGGTCACACAAAAGCATTATAGGACATAGAACAGGACACTGGAGACGGCTCTCCCTTGTACTACCTCCAACATGCCACCATCTAAAAGGCTAGGTTATCCAGGGTTATCTCTGTAGTTATGCTGCTATAGGCTTAGACTGCTGGAGGACACACTGACCACTTTCCACACTCGACTACTTTCTTCTACAATTTGCTCTTTAACTGTATTATTTCCTGCTATTTCAGCTGTTAACTTAATTTTCTCTCTAAGTGTTTTTCTCCCCAGAAGAAGCTACAATGATGTTCCGCTGAGCTGTGGTGGCCTCATGGAGGGGGCCATCGGCTTGAACACTGCTGCTAACCATTTAAACATTCTCCCTCTCCTGATGATAAGTTTTTACTTTAACTGCATTGTTGGTTCTTTTTTTTTAAACACTGTAACGTCCAGCAATGGTCAGTTTTTAGGTACAGTTTGACCATTCAACACCTATTCAACGTCTGGTCAAAAAGGAGACACAAGACTGCATGTGTTCCCTTTAAACTGGCCTGCCTCCATCCCACCAGCTGGAGCTCAGAGTCTCTGCAGCTCTAAACTCAGATAATGAAATGTCAACAATAACATTCTCTCCTCAAGGTCCAATCTTTCAGGTCTTCATGCCTCCATATAAGGAACACTCCAGCTCGGATCAGTTGCTAAATCAAAGAATGATTTACTAAATTAAATATGAACTTCTACAACCTACAAGTTAGATAATCATTAAATAAACATTTGTTTATTGCTACTTATAATAATTATAATATAATGAATTGTTTCATTAATCTGTGCTCAAGGATTGAAGTGTGAAATGAATGTTATGTTATGATTACAGTGATTGAAATATGTTTCAGCATGTTGATATGATGAGGTCATCACCACTTGCACTCACACAAGGACAAAGTAAGGTTAAGTTAAACCCATGACACATAAATAGTCTTTTACCCCAGATCAGAGCATTTGTATCAAAGAAGGCATGTTTCTGAGGTTGTCTTAGTAACCATTTCTCAACTTGTCAACCTTTGGTTGGCTACGCAAATCATAACATGAGAACATTAAAACTGGATCACTCTGGTGATTCAGCAGTTCTAGAGAAGCTTCAGGCCGGCCATCTGAAGCAAACCCCTCTTTAACCATCAAAGATTTTGACACGTTGTCAAAATCTTTTTGCACCTGCGGAGCTGATACACAGTTCCTGCAGAACAAGCTGATATTGTTTAGACTCCTTAAGAGTCCCAGAAGCGCGGTTCCATCCGTCTGTCATGACCCGAGACATCTCTGGACCGAAGAGTCGGTGCCACGGTATTCTACAGCCCTTCGGTTCCAGAGCTCAGCCGACCTCTCTGACCTTCGGATCCACCAAGAGGGTCTCCGAGAACGGGTGAAGTAGACACACAGATAGCATCTGGTGTGCTTTTGATAATAATCAACTTCATAGCTTAACGCAAACCAAATTCTTTTACATCCAGAACTCAGCTCGATAAGGGAGTTCTGACTAACACATCATTCACACATAGGTTCATACATCACCTTTAGTTCCATCCATCACAGTAAATGTTAGTTAACTTGTCATGTTTTAATGGTTTGTAAAATAAATTATTACTTTTATAAACCTGACTCTTTTCTGAATCAAAACAAAGTGTTTACAATCCCCTAATAATTAAAGAATCCTAGATCTTCTGATAAGCACAGAAAGACCAAGCTGGGTGATATTCTATATTTAAATAGAGTATCACAAGTCGAAGACACACAAGAGCAGCAAAACAAGAAGCAGAAAGCACAATAAAGAAGTCAGCCGTAACAGATCACTGCACAAGAGAAAACCATGTAATGGACTGGGACAATACAAGGATCATAAACACCGAACAACAGAAATACAAAAGATGGATAAAGGAAGCAATAGAGATAAGGAGACGTGGATGTGGGACCATGATCAGAGACGATGGGGTTTACACTTTGGATCGTGCATGGGACTGCATCATCGGAGAGGGGAGGGCCACCATCAGCATCAGCTCTGAGGGTGTTTGCAGCCGCGAACGAAACTGTCAGCAAGGTAAAGAGAAACATTTTCTATGTTTAAAAAAGAACCAGAAGTGCTGTTAGAAATGCAACACAGCAAGAACAAACCAAAGAAACATGTTACTTTCTTTGACATTTAATGTGCTACTACTAGTTTACCTGTTGAGTTAATTATAGATTCACTAAGATAAAGATAATGACATTTTTCTCTGGGCTACCCAGTGGTGCAGTGGTTAGTGCTGTTGCTTTGTGGTAAGAAGGTCCTAGGTTCACATCCCAGCCTGGGATCTTTCTGCACGGACTCTGCATGTTCTCCCTGTGCATGCATGAGTTCTCTCCGGATTCTCCAGCTTCCTCCCACAATCCAGAAACATGACTGCTAGGTTAATTGTTCTGTCTAAATTATCCTTAGGTGTGTGTGCATGGATGTTTGTCCTGTATGTCTCTGTGATAGACTGGCAACCTGTCCAGGGTGTACCCCACCTGCTTGCCCATTGACTGCTGGAGATAGACACCAGCCCCCTGTGGTCCTGCCTGGACAAGTGGGTTCAGACAATGGATGGATGGAGGTTTATCTTTTATTAAATAGAAAATCTATTAAGAAATCACAATGTAGCCATAGAAACACTACATGGTATATATGTTGGTGTGTGTCGATGGGCGTGGGTGTGTGTCGGTGGGCGTGGTTGAGTGTGAGTGTAGGTTTAATGGGTGTGTGTGTGTGCGTGTGTGTGTTTGCGTGCGTGCGTGTGTGTGTCTGCTCTGTCTTCTCGGTCCCCAGTGAGTCGTGGTGGACGGCTGCTTATATTGAGCCAGGATCCTCTGGAGGTTTCTTCCTGTTAAAAGGGAGTTTTCCTCTCCACCGTCACTAAATGCTTGCTTAGTATGAGGATTGCTGTAAAGACTCTGACACTAGTCACTGACTCGATGCAACCTGCTGGGTTCCTTATATAGGAAACGTTTTACTGATTGGCTTAATGAACTGACCTGTGTTGGGATGTTTCCTGTGTGAAGTGCCTTGAGATGACTCTGGTCGTGATTTGGCGCTATAGAAATAGACTGAACTGAATCCAAAAGGAACACATCACAAGGCACGCCTTAGTAACAGATCAGTGGTTACATGGCTGGTCTGCTTTAGCCAATTTTTGAGTTGACATTTGAAGGTTTGTAATGTCTACACTCTTTCTGAAACATTTCAGTAAGCATTGAGTCTGGTTCATTAAAGGGATACTAAGCTGTTTTAGCTTGCTTTTAGCACCCCCTAGTGGTCTGTTAGGACAACCAAAAGTGAAACTCGCCGTGCGTTTGACTTTCTAACACCTTAATCTAACAGCTGAAACGTCTCCTCAGCTTTCATTAGTGTCTGCAGGAGTGGTTCGTCACTAAATCAAACAAATCAACTGTGTTTACTGGTCAAACTGGGCAGGAAAACATTTTTGATCCAACAAAATGAACTTTGCAGATGTGTTTGTCTTTGTTCATATTTAGAGTGAGCATTTCAGCAGAAGGCTGGGTGAGGCACTGCTTTTACAGATGGGAGAGGAGCTCTGCTGGACTGAAGCCAACAGTAAGTGGGTGATACTAGGTGACTCCATTAAGAAACAAGCTTCTTCTTCCTCATTACTCAGCAAAGTGCTGCTATGTCTGCTGGATATCATGTTTCCTCATCTCTACGCTCTGCTGCTCTCTGTAAGCTAGCTGTTTGTTTTGAATGTCTCGTTCTCATTATGCTTAATCATGTTTTCTGATTCATTTTTTGGGAAAATTATTTTTGTGCTGATTAAATGAGAGGAAATTGTTCGTGCCCACTTTCTTCCCTTTAAGAGGGTGACAACATTTGTGTCAATGAGCCAAAATCAGTGTGGACTTTTTCTCTTTTTATTATTTACTGATTATTTCCACCTCCCTTAGAATCAGCTCCAAGTAAAAAGCACCATATTGATGTGTGGTAGCTATTACTATTGTTGAGCAGTGGCACTTCTCCAGTGGGCAGGACCTTCCCACATTGGGCAGACACAGCTGAGGTTCATCTCCAGGGGTAGCAGTAGCTAGGAGGTAGAGAAGGTTTTCCAGCATTTGGAAGGTTGTAGGTTAGATCCCGGCTCCCGCCAGAGAATGCTGCTGTTGGGTCTCTGGGCAAGACACTCATCACTTGGAGGAGAACACTTAACTATTGTCCTTGACAGCTGTTACACATGGCCCAGTATCACTCTTCAGCAGCCACAAAGAGAGTAGCTGGCAGTTGACACTGTACATCTGTAAGAAATTAGCGCATGGGGGCACAAGAGAGCACCCCAAGACGTGCCTGAGAAGCCACTGGTGTGCTCAAGATGAATAAAAGAAGAAAACACAAAAGATTTCAGTAAAAGCAGATGTAAATAAAAGGGTCTTCATCTGCTTTTAAAAGGTGACTAGACTGTTAGTAATATTAAAAAAAATAAAGAAAGTTCATTCTAAAGTCGGGGTACAACAGCCTGGAAGGAGCGATCACCTCGACTTTTATATCTGGTCTTTGGAACTTCTAGAAGGTTCTGGTGTGTGGACCTGAGGGAGCGGGTTG